CTATCTATCTATCTATCTATCTATCTATCTATCTATCTATCTATCTACTATCTATCTATCCATCATCTATCTATCTATCTATCTATCCATCATCTATCTATTTATCTATCTATCTATCTATCCTCTCTCTCTCTCTCTCTCTCTCTCTCTCTCTCTCTCTCTCTCTTTCTCTCTCTCTCAGACTAAGCAATATGAAACTGTTCCAGCATGTCCTCTGAACATGGTTTCCTCTTCCGGGGTACATGGCCCACTTTTCTGGGTTTCATTTGGCTTTTCACACGACCTGAATTTTGATGGCCTTTGTCTCAGAAAAGGTTCTGATGTGATAATTATTTCTCTCCCCACCCTTGTCCCCATCCAGTTCCCATTATTCCCAGTTACCTGTACAGCATTAAGCATGAGAAAAACACTACAGAAACCCAGACCACTAAGCCAGCACTCGCAGCCTCCACCTTGGGAAGCATCCAGGGCATATTCTCCTACTATGACAACTCTACCATTTCATTCACCGGGAATTCCACTGGGAATGCCACCGGGGGCTTCCCAGGGGAGCAGCTATACAAGACCATTGCCACACAGCACATGGTGACCAACACATCCACTGTCCCTTCTGACTGTCCAAGCGAAGACAAAGACCTCCTGAATGAAAATGTGCAAGTTGGGCTGCTGTTTGCCTCCAAAGCCACCGTCCAGCTCCTTACCAACCCATTCATAGGACTGCTGACCAACAGGTAAGCTGTGTGCCTCAGACGAAGAATGAGATGATGCTCATTCCAGATGCTTTCATCCTGCTGCTTGCTCATTTGTCAGAATGTGGAGAATTGGGGGATGATGGACCAGGGAAACCCAACACCTGAGCATGGTGACTTCATCCTCAGTAACCAGAATTCCATATTGACTCCACCTGTCTTTCCACCTGTTGCCTCAAAAGTACTAATATAGGAAACATGACAGAAGAGGGAAGAACACATCAATTCTTCTAAATGCACAGTTTGATTCTATCAAGGCCGCTCTTGGGCCACAGGGACTCTTCAGCGGTCATTGCCATTGTGGTCAGGTGGCTTCCCACCTCTGTGATTGGTTAGAGAAAGCTAAGGTTAGGGCTGGGACTGTAGTCCAATAGGTAGTGTGCTAGCCTAGTGTACCGGAAGCCCTGGGTTCAGTCTCCAGTGCTGCATAAATGGGCATGGCTAACCTGTGACTGTAATCCTAGCATTCAGGAGGCAGAGGCGGGACACTCCATTTTCCCCCACACTCCATGGGGAAGATTTTTCCCCACACTCCCCGGAAAGAGAATGGAGACCATTGTCTGAGAACCCAAGCTGCTGAAGTTGGTTTTGAGTTAACCTAGAGGTTATGAATTCTTTGGCATCTTTGTTTCCATTGTTGGCAGCCATCAGCAAGTGTCCTTCTACAGCCAAGGTAGCCTGGTTCTGTCCTGTACTTGGAAACTCAAAGCCCAGGATACTGACATCCTGAAGATGTCAGCTGTTAGTGGGGTTAGGTTATAATTCCGTTGTAGAGGAGACGATCCAGGAGGACCGCCTTGAGATGAAGGCCAGTCTAGGTTACATCGTAAACAGTAGTCTCGCCTGAGGTACATAAGCAAGATTCTGTCTCTTCTTTTTACAGTGGTGGAGAGGGGAGGGACCATCATTTCAAGCCCATAGCTGTACCACAGACTAGAAAAGGCAAGGACAAGAGCTTAGAGGATGGGGTGATGCTAACAGGGAGAGAGATGAGGTGATGTTGGGGAGAGACCAAGAAGGGGTCCCTAGGTGAAGCTACGAGGCCCCAAGTGCTAGACCAGAGACACGGGTTTTACTATAGGAGAAGTGAGTTATTTCAGGTCCTGGAGTCACACAATGATGAAACTGTGAGCCAAGCAGTAGGGAGCAAGAGTGCCGGACAGTTTGTGGGGTACAGTGCAAAGTGAAAGTGTGGGCTCCATACTCAAATGCTATAAAGCACTGATGATACCAACTACATCAGAGAGCTAAGCAAAGGCCCAATAAGAGTAGAACCCTGTGCTTCTCTGGGTTTCAAGGTCTGTGAGCTAAGAAGGCCTGGGGTGACCCCAGAGGGATCACAGAGGCTATGACAGGTTTGCTGCCCCTCAGCACCAGCTGTGCTTAGGCACATAGGCTGCTGCTGTTGTACTCACAGAGAGACACAGAGAGCTCCCTTCTGATGCAGTGTGATTTTGTGGACTGGGTCCTGCTACCGAGCCTGTGTTAACCACCCAGGCTCCAGCCAGCCCTCCTGTCTTCGAGCAATACTACACGGCTTTCATACAAAGCGTGCTAAGCTAATAAACCTGGGCATGGCGGAGTGTGCACCCACTGAGAGGCCCCATTACGGACGAGACACTCTGCCCCTCCTCTGCTCTCCAGGACAAAACCAAACAGAGCTCCGGAGTCATGGGTTTGTTTCTTTTCTTTCTCGAGACTAAGAGCCGTTCTTTAAATGCGTCTGGTATAATTACAGAAAAATGGCTCAGGGTTCGGTGTTCTGACAGAGCAAGCAGCTCGAATACTATATGGGAAAATTGAGGACATTATCGTAATAACGCCCTGCCAATCACTTAGGCAGGAACATGACTAGGCACTGGGTAATACTTAGCCAGCTTGTGAAATGAGGTGAAAATTCCAGTCCTCCAAACGGGAGTCACAAACAAACCGCTTTCAAAATCCCAATATAGGTATTAAAACCTATTAAATTAAAGCATTAAATTTTTACTAATGTCTTTGAGAAGCAGCTTGTTTAAAGCCAGTGAGACTTTCCCCTCTTAACCATCCCCTAAAGGTGAGGTTCTCATCCTGTGGGTCGTGACCCTGGGGTCAAACAACCCTTTCACAGGGTCAACTAAGAACATCCAGAACACCCCGGATATTTACATTACGACTCATGACAGTATGAATGAAGTAGCAACAAAAGAGTTTTATGGTTGGGGGGCACCACAACATAAAGAAAGGCACTAAAGGGTTGCAGTGTCGCAGCATTAGAAAGGTTGAGAACCACTGCCCTAAAGTTTAGGATTGAAGCTACTTATGTCTGTGTCTCAGACTGTCTTCCAAGAAAATCCCAATTTTGCTTTGAGCTTGTGAACTGCAGTCTATTCTTATGGTGAGCGACCTACTAGTCTGCTAATGGGACAGAGCAAACCCTAATTGCTTGCCCGGGCATCGCATTAAGTTTAAAACATGATTTTTTATCTTATTGGTTTCTTGTGCTGCCCGGGAACGCAGAAATGCAAACATTTTCATATTGACTGATGCAGAGCAATCAGGTGAACTCTGTTGTCCCTTCAAAATTATTGTAGTTTGAAAATTTTTAAAATACTTTCTGAGCCCAGGAGATGCAGATTTAGAGAGTTGCTGCTCCTCTGGCTGCTCACAGGCCCTGTTCCTCACCATTGTTCTGATGGTAACTGACAAAGAAGGACACGTTCATCTGGGTAGCCCTTGCAGTCTTCACGGGAGGCACTGCAAACAGTCTTGATGTAATTTGTTCCGATCCCACTCTCAGTCACCAACACGAGGTATGACTCAGGTCTTCCGTGCTGTAAACAGCGTGTTATCGCTGACAGACGTGAGGAGCTGAACGTGTTGAGGGTAACTCACATTTTGTGCTGTAAACACGCCTGCCTAAAGGGCAGCGAATGGCGGCACCGAGATCCCTGGTGACAAAGCCGTAAGAAGACCTTGTCGGCTTTACCAGAAGCCAGTCTTAGAGTGTCAGAGGGAAGGGGGTGTATGGTACAGGAGGAAGAAGCGCTCACAGTCGTCACGTGTCAGAGCAGACACACTTGGTTTCTAATTTCCCTTCCATCCTTTCCTGCTCCGTAGGATACAGTTTGTAGTTTTAGCTACTAAAAAGGAAAAAAAAAACACAGGTCTAAAATTGTTACTCTTAACATCTCCTTGGGCCCCTTCTGGGTCAAACAGAATGGGTAAAGGCTTACTTTTTAATCCCTGTGTGGGGAATTTAGATACTAAGACAGTCTGAGTCTTTCCCACCTGGGCCTTGCCCGGTTCCAGACGTGAGCTGGCCCAGGCTTAGACACACCTAAATCTAAACAGAGAAATCTGTCTAGAGGAACCGCCTCTCTAATGCCTGCTTTGTATGAGCTTAAGAGGAGTCCACTGCGAGCCCAGACACCCCAATCGCCGTCTCCATTCCCACTTTGCTATTTGTGACCAAGGCGGCACCAGCCCGGTGGCTTTTATGTGGTGACAGCGATAATAGGTGCCTTGTCTGTTGTTTGAAATATTGGGGTCCTGTCTCATACTGAATTTTGAGAACACAAAGCAACCATTTTGGGCAAACCTTGGCTACCTTTCATTTTTCCTGTTTCATTTATACTTGGGCTACTGTATATTCCTGGCCACTGTGTGACAGGAAAGAGAAGGAAGGACGCCTCACTTTTGGAACATGTACTTACTTTCACGTATCCAAGTAGAATTTTCTAAGGTCTCAGAGTTTTGGTCCATTTCCCTAATGGAGGCTGAAGCGATTTGTTTTATTCTAGTTGAACTGCTTATTACTTAATGGTAACTGTATATCAAAAGAGACAGCAGGATTCTGCTAGTGACCCTGTCATTGTACATAAAATGCATGTATGTGTGTAGGCAGACAATATAAAAACGTGGTTACCTTTCTTTCTCATAAAGCAGGTAAAGTTATGCTATGTCCGCCTCTCTCTCTCCTCCCCTCTCGCTCACTCTCCTCCCCTCTCCTTATAGTGAAAAGGTTAAAGTTCAGATGACGTAGATGCCCTGTCCTAAATTGTTCAGCATCCACTTTAAATAGTAGCTGCGTCTTTAGAACCAAGTGCTGTCTCGAGCTAGCAGATGGCCTAGGAGCGGCCACTCCACCAATGGGAGCCGACTCCCTTCACTTCCTTCGTAGCCTGGCATTGTCCGGGTGGTCTGCTTTCTATCAAGCTGGTGTCGGTGGCTTAATTTATTTCCATAGTTACCTAGTATATTCGAAAGCAGTTGTTTTTCCTTGCAGACTTTAGCTAACATCTGAACGACAAGCTGGAAGCCACAGGGCATGAAAGCTTTTCGGAATCTTCTGGGGTATTTTTCCCCCCTCCAGCTTCAGCCGCTTGTTCTGAAGCATGCTTTGTAGAAAGAAGCGGTGACCTTTTCAGACAATCGGCAGACAGGGAAACCAGCTGTTTGAAGGAGGCGATCTCCCATCGTCGACTTCACTGGGATGGGCAGGGAGGGGACAGTGGGCCCACAAAGGGCTTCTTACACTGAAGCCAGAAGGAACCAGGAATAGAATTAGCTCATTCTCCTGCGAGCACAAGGGCTCACTCAGGCAGGTGTGTGGTGCACAATCCAGCCCAAGCTCTAGCAGACCCAAGGCTGGACTTAAGACTTTCACTTCCTAAACGCTGAAACAACTTTAACATATTCCTGTCTCTTGGCATTCATTTCCTGCTGCAGAGATCCTCTCTGTCATTTACAGTGATTGAAGGGACTATACCGTGGTCTCAGGGAGCTGAGAAGAGTCTGTAGAAAGGAACAATTAGCATTACAGAAGCATCAGTTGTCAGAGGGCATGCTGGTCAGTGTTGGTCAGTTTGACACCAACTAGAGTTACCTTGGAAAAGGGAACCTTGGTTAGATTGTCTTCATCAGACTGGCCTGCAGGCAAACCTTTGCGGGCATTTTTCTGACAAATGGTTGATGGGAGGACCCAGGGTCATGCCACCGCTGGTCCTGCGTTGTATAGAAAAGCAGGCTGAGCAAGCCATGGACAGCCAGTCAGTGAGCACCATTCCTCCATAGTCCCTGCCTCTGCTCCTGCTTGGGCTCTTACCCTGACTTCCCACAGTGATTGAGACCTGTAAGCCAAATGAACCGTTTCCTCCCCAAGCTGCTTTGGATCATGGTGTTCACCATAGTACTAGAAAGCAAACTAGGGCATAAGGTTTCCCCACTCTTTAGTTTTTGCAGCCAGCATAGCATCTATTATTCTAGATGTTTTCTGAGGGGGTCAATATGTGATTTTTGGTCACATTCAAATTGGATCAATTGTTCCCTGGTACTGTGTAGAGAATGACCGTGGTCCAGCATGACTTACAAGTGGTTGATAACAGGCCACTTGGATACAGGTTTGCTGAATCAGATCTAGCTTTGCTTACAATACTTTAATTGAGATGGCATTGAGTTGAGACAAGAGAGAAAACTCGGTTGGTGGTGACTAATGTGGCTTGAGTAGCTGCCCATTTCAGAGACATTGTGAGGAAGGAGGAAGGCAGTTGTGTCCCCTTCACTGCTCAGTGTTCTAAGGGGGGCATACAAAGAGCTAAGAGAGTCTGAGGGTGGAGTCCCACAAGGTACCCGTTTAATCTTCCTTAACTTAGGGTTTAGCACCAGTGTTGCCAAGGAGACTGCTTGACCACTTTGCTACCTTAGCAGAGATGATGGTGGGCACCGAGTTTCGTGAGAGCCTCTTTCTCAGGGTAATACAGCTGAAAATGATGTAACAGGACACCTGGCATCTTCCTCTGGGCTCTCTGTGGGCATGCACCTGCACACATACACACAATCTATGACAACAGAACTGTTTAAAAGATCCCATTCGAAACCAAATCTGTGACCTCTGCTTACCCAGTGAGGTTGCCAAATTCACAAGCAAAAGCTCTGGCCTGGAGGCCATAGTCTGAGAGCAGTTAGCCCAAATAACATTTGACATGTTGCTTCTACATGTCTTGGTTTCCCCATCTGTGAAATGAGGAGGTGGTCAGCCACTTCTGGAGGCCATTGGGGTAGCTGTGTGGCTGCTCGTGGGACTCGGTATAAAACCTTCAAAGGAAGGTGCTGATGGGACGCTTTGCATGATGGTCTGGACTGGAAGAACCTTCTATGCAGGCCTGGACGTGGCACGCTTGACTTTCTGCTTCCTGAGGTTCATTTGATCCCTCTCCAGGTCCCCGGGATTCCAGGATGGAGGGATAAGAGGCCTGGGAAGCTATGAGTTTCCTAGGTTGGAAGAACCAAACAGAGGGCAGTAGCTTAGGCAGAATTGGCATTACCTCCAGGGCAGAGGTTCTTGGTGGCTGCTGCCGTGTCCTGGCCACACAGAAGAGGAAAGGAGAAAATGGAGCAGAATGGAGGGGAGAGGGTGGAGAGATGGCTCAGCAGTAACGGAGGGGAGAGGCTGGAGAGATGGCTCAGTCAGAATGGAGGGGAGAGGCTGGAGAGATGGCTCAGCAAGAATGGAGGGGAGAGGCTGGTGAGATGGCTCAGTCAGTAAAGCACTTGCCTTAATAACATGAAGACCTGAGTTTGGTCCCTAGAACCTATGCTTGACCTGGTGACATGCAGCTGTAATCCCAGGCCTGGAGAAGCAGGCCCAGGAGGACTCCTGAGGCATGCTGGTCAGCAAGTCTAGCTTGCTTGGGGAGTTTCTGGGCAGTAAGAGATGTTTCAAAGGAGGTAGACGGTCTTCTTGTGGATGATTCTAGAGGTTGTTACTTCTGACCGACATCATACACACAACACACACACACACACACACACAACACACACACACACACACACACACTCATACGAGTGAGGAGCAGATAAAGTTTCTGAAGAATCTTTTCTGTTTCAGGTTCCCTGGTAGACAGTTGCCTATAAAAGCCTCTCTGTATTTGGGTTTAAGGAGATAGCCTTTTCTGTCTGTGACGACCAAAGGAGACTAGCCTTGGATGTGTTGTGAGGGAGGGGGTAGGTATTAGACCTGACATATGCCTTTCTGATACAATGTGAACTGGTACCAGGGTCTTCAGTGGACATAGTTCCTGAATCCTCCATGGATGTCGGTCCTGACAAACAACTTGGACTTAGACCTTTTGCATGAGACACGTGGCCTCTCAGGGTCAGCATAAAGGCAGATCTTAGCATCTTGATTTCTAATGCCTCTTAGACATGATGTTGCTGTTTCTCTTGCCAGGTGACTCATCTGATGGACTTTTATCAAAGCAGGGCGACATTTCCTCCAGGCAGAGGTGGCTGGGAAGCTGCTTTGACTGACCACAGATGTCCCTTTGGGGAAGTTCTTACAAAGACTACACTAACAATGATAATAATAACGATGATCTTTTAGATATGTTTGGGGTTACTTGACAATATTGTGTTAACATTTATTCCAGAGGAATTTTCATTCACAGTGGCTGCCCATAAGTGTATTCATATTCTAAGACAGTCAAACACGAAAAGGTCACGTAGGAAACACTGAGTATATGAATTTTCAGACAAGTTGGCAGACCACTTATCCAGCTGATCCCCAACAGATAACGTCTGGAAAAATCAATATAAAGCCTTACAGAAACAGCCAGCCATCATTGAACTCTTCATGTCTGTGTCTTTCAGAATTGGCTATCCGATTCCCATGTTTGCTGGATTCTGTATTATGTTTATCTCAACAGTTAGTAAGTATCTGCTGTTTGCCTTCTGCATGTGGGTCTTGGAAGAAGTCCTGTCTCTTGTGGACCAGGAAGCAGACTAGACTGGGGGAGGAGGGATGCTGTACTGGCAACAGTACAGGAAGGGAGTACTTCATGGAGCAGCCCACAGTCTCAAGCATGGATAGACCCGTTAGTTTAGGGGTGTGTTCCAGGTCACACAATGTTGCGACATCCCTGTCTCGTGGGCAGGGCCTGACCTTGATGTGAGGGCTTGGGCCTCTTCTCTTGGCAGTGTTTGCCTTCTCCAGCAGCTATGCCTTCCTGCTGATCGCCAGGTCTCTGCAGGGAATCGGCTCCTCTTGTTCATCCGTGGCTGGTAGGCACGAAAACACCTGTGGGCGGGGAGCCTGTTTGCCATTGTGAGGACTGATGTTGGGACTGGAGGTAGAGAGGAATAGAGGAGATTTTGGAGAAGGTGCCCACCTTCCTGCTGGATTCTGCCTAGTCTTATATTTCAGTCAGTTTCATTGGCTTAGGAAGATGGTCAGCCTGCTGGGAGGGAGGATGCCAAGGATGATGTTTTTGGTACTCCCCAGGGCATGGGCGCTAACCGGATCTTCTTCTGCTTAGGAATGGGCATGCTGGCCAGCGTGTACACAGATGATGAAGAGAGGGGTAACGCCATGGGGATCGCTTTGGGGGGCCTGGCCATGGGGGTCTTAGGTATGTAATAGTCACTTGCAGGTGGGACTCTTTTGGCATTGGGTTACAATTTCCCTTGCTCATTAGTCATAGCCACACTGAGTCCACGTCCACACTTCTTTGAGCAGGCATTCAACCCTCCTGTTTCTATTTTTTTTCCCTACAGAGTCTTTGGGAAATAGGGGGAAAGTCCCTTGTGGAAAAGATCTGGGCTTCCTCGGCCTCTGTCCCCAAACCTTGTTTGTACCAGACTCCAATATAAAACACAGAATTGAGTAGTATGGTCTGTCAGATCCCTTCTTTTCAAAAATTCTGAGTTATTACCAGGCAGTGGTCATACACACCTTTAATCCCAGAACTCGAGAGGCAGAAGCAGGTGGATCTCTATGAGTTCGAGGCCAGCCTGGTCTACAAGAACTAGTTCCAGGACAGGACCCAAAGCTATAGAGAAAAACCATAATAATAATAATAATAATAATAATAATAATAATAATAATAATAAT